ACACTTGAGCAAAAGTTTATACTGTCATCCTTGTCTTGTGTCTCAAAAGAAAGAATGTGCATTTTAATGCTGCCAGTTCTATTCTTAATCTACTAGAAGTGATACTTTGAAGTGAGCTTTATAAAAAGATGCCTATAAGTGATATTTCATTTTAGTATTTATGAATATAACTGTGCAACTCAGACTTCATTACCTGAGAGCAAAATCTCTGTTTCATACTACAGAAGTTGATCAGTGTGTCACCCAATCTCCCCAAACTCATCAGTTCAATGAATGTACAGCCACCAAAGGAAAATGAAATCGTCCTGCTGAGTGGATTGACCTCAGGAAACCTGCAGGCTGATTATGAGGTTCCTCAGGTAGGAGTCAAACTCATCTTTAATCTTAGATCATGCCCTTGAATGATGGAATTTGAAAAATGGGAAAAGGACCCTGAAAGCCCTGAGATCAATTTGAGATGAGTGGAAGTTTGCAAATACACAAACAACAGCCTTTGTCAGACAGATTTAAGTGTGTGGTGCACGGTGGGGGGACACACACCAGGTACACAAAGCTAGCTGAGAGATCCTGCTATTCCCTCTGGATCCTGCACGTGTCTGGGTTGCAGCTGGTAATGCTTTAAGGCACATTAGCCCTTGATCCTTCAGGGGAGGAAGGCACTGGTGGCAGAGATGACTGATCTGCAAGCCCAGATTTCAAGAGTAGCAGAAGGGCAGCAGAGGGGGAAAGGAAAAAGGTAACAGTTCTGTGCATAGAGCTGGGCCAGGGTACAGCTCCTAAAGACTCCCATGGTCTTGCCACTTGCCACTTTCATTCCCAATTCATCTTCATCTCTCAACTTCATTAAAATTGCAGTTACCCTGGAGTACAAAACTGTCTCAACAAATTTAAAATGTGAATAGGTATTGCCAGGTTTGTCTGTTGCAGATAAGAAAAGCAGGAAACTTTTTTTCACTGAAATTACCTTGTGTACAAAAGCTTTCTTGAAGCAGACCCCGTTACAGCTATATGGCAAAGATCACTGAATTTTATGGTGTACCAATAAGCTAATCATTAAAGAGAGCAATTACCAGGTTATTGAGCTTTCTTGCCACTCATGACTAATGGCTGAATTTAGAAATGTTTAACAAATACAAGCACAAGGCTGTGGTGGGAGCAATGGAGCTCCAAACCCCACATCTCAAGGTGTTGCAATACACACAGGGATGGTCTGAGACCCAAACAAGGTAACTGAAATACCCAAGTCACCCCTGTCTCCAGAAGCCTACAGACACTGAGGCTGGCAGCCCTCTCATAGGGAGTGGAGGCAAGAGACAAACAGGAACTAAATAAATTTCTGTTGAGTAAAGCTTTACATTGAAGCTGGATGAGATTTATTGGCCAGATATGCCACAGTTATCCTGTTGTTTGGCTTTCAGAGAAATTCATTTGTAAGGTGACTGGCAGAGTTTTTGTAAAGGATTTTTATGCTGCTGCCTCTCAAGCCATTTTCCCAAGTACAACCCCACAAACTGTGGATTGGGGAAAAAGCAAGGGAATGTCTGATCTAAGGCTGCATCTGTTTTTCATAGCATTTTTCACAATATGGGGCATGCTCAAGCCTGATTCAATTTCATAGCAGCTATCTAATCTATCTTTTCTGTTTTAACACACTAATTTATCTGGTTGCTGTTCAGACACATTTTTTAGGTGGAAAGGAAGAG